ACAAGAACATAGGAACTTCAGCCATCACCTGCTGCCTCCCACGGTGTGCATTAACAGTGAAATCAAACCCAGCTTCTTGTCTGTCCCTTAGCACAAGGTGTCCTTGCCTGTCCTTTCTCAAAAGGAATTCACTGAATTGAGGGAGGGATAACAGCTGGTTTAACAGAGTTCTAATCACCAGACTCAAGGAGTCATTTGCTTCTCCAGCAGATAAAACCCTGTTGGACAGTACTGTCTGGAGGACTCTGGGGAAATTCCAGATCTTGGGCAGAAGGCAACTATCACTTACCTGTAACCTTCCCCCACCCCAGACCACATGAAGCCCATGTGACCATCATAAAAATTCCTTAAGTGCACCATGCTGCTGACAGGTCTAAGGAAGGTCATGAGCACTACTGATCAACCAGGAACTTGGGAGGTGAGCTGAACATGCGCCTCTCAGCCCCAGTTTCAATCTAGAAGAACGTTCACCTTTAACTCCTTGGGAAATTAAGCAAAAGCTGCCCAGCTCCTTGCCCTGTGCTCTGCAAAAACCACCTACTTTCTTCCACCACTCCAGTGTCAGTGACTGGCTTTCTGTGCTTTCAGACGAGTAGACCCAGGTTTGGGGGATCTACAGAACCTCCAACTAGTTTGAGGGGTTGTCCCACAACAGCAGAAAGCTGGATCAGAGGTAGAGGTGGAACTCAAACCCAGATACTCCAAGAGGTGTTTTAACACCTGTGCCAAAGACACGCCCCAAATGGTCTATCATTAAATGCAGTTACCATCCTTGTTTTCAAAATACCTTTGCCACGTTAATATCAGAATACATTACAGTTGTCCCTTAATTTACCTGGGGTATTAGTTCTGGCACCTCCTGGAGATACCAAAAATCCACAGATGCTCAAGTCCCTTAGATAAAATAGCAAAATATTTGAAGATAAACCATGCATATTTATGCATTTATTTAAGTCCTCTCTAGATTACTTACAATATTTAGTACAATGTAAAAGCTGTGGAAATAGTTTTAATGCTGTATTGTTTAGGGAATAAAGACAAGGGGAAAAAAAATCCATACATGTTCAGTATAGATGCAACTAAAAAATATATGAGAAAGAAATATCAGCACCACCATTTTTATAGCAGAACTGTTTATAATAGCCAAAATCTGGAATCACCCAACATGTCCATCATCAGATGAATAGATAAGAAAACGTGCATTGTACCAATGCAATCTCACTAGTCAAAGTGATAAGTTTCAGTTCATAATTGATCATAATGATAGGTTTAAGAGTCAAAGGGACCACATAGACAAGACTAGTGCCGCCAAATACTAACTGATATAATTAAAAAGGAGAGAACGATCCAATATTGGAAGCAGGATACACAGAAGACTCATAGAATTGCAGATGCCCTAAATAGCACTTTGGCCTCAGAATCAGCCCTTAAGGCATTCAGATCTGGCTAAAAAGCCCATGAGAGTTTCTCAGTCATGAAAAGCCAAGACAATGTGGAAAAAAACCTAAATGAAAGATCTCTGTGAGTGAGATTCCAGTGGAAAGTACAGGCCATCAAAGAAGGAGGTACCTTTCTCTGAAGGGAAGAGAGAACTTCCACTTTAATTATGGCCTTGTCTAAATAAGATCAGAGTTTGTGAATTCAAGAGGCTTCCATAGTCTTGGCAGCTCATGACAAGAGCCTTGGGTGATTACTGATGTCATAAATAATAGTGTCAATTGTTAAGTCAACAACAGGAGTCACTGTGCACTTACTCCCCATGTAGGATCTCTGACCTTAATGTGTTGCACTATGCGAATTAACAGTAAAACTAGTACTCAAACCGTACCTTATACTTTGTGTGTCTGTGTGGTGCAGTCTGTTGAAATCTTTACTTAGTATATATAAAGATAATTGAAAATGAATCTGGGATGGGATAGGGAGTGGGAGATGAGGTGGTTGCGGGTGGGAGGGAGTTTATGGGGGGAAAAGCCACTATAATCCAAAAGTTGTACTTTGGAAATTTATATTTATTAACTAAAAGTTTAAAAAAAAATGTACTGTATACGCAGGAAATGGACATCCTTCCATTTAATTTTATAGCCATTCTGTCTATCCCCACTAAACTAGGGTCTTTTTGCTTTTTACTTCGTAAATTTCTTATCTGGTAAAGCATTAAAAGCCTTTTACTATAATGTAATTTTAAAGCATGTTATCTTAAAAACCAAAAAAATAAAAGAAAGGGAGAGGAAATAATGAGAGGGAGAGAGGGGAGGGAGGGAATGAAGGAAGAAGGGAATATTATAATCTTAGAATTTACCTATGAACTATTCTGAATCTGCTAAAAACTGATGAAAATTTTTTAAAAAGTGATCGTGGAAGCTTCAGATAGGGACAGCAATTATTTTTTGGCTGAGTTAAACTTTAAGTGTTCAAAGCAAATTCTATTGTATTTAGCAATTTCATTATTTCAAAAAATAGTTTTATAGTTTCTTGACTATAAAAAAAAAACAGTTACTAAAAAATCAGAAACATAAGAACACCTAAGGGGCTGGCACTCTGGTGCACTGGGTTAAAGCCCTGACCTGCAGCACTGGCATCTCATAGGGCACCAGTTCACGCCCTGGTTGCTCCACATCTGATCCAGCTCGTTGCTAATGGGCCTGGGAAAGCAGCAGAGGATGGCCCTAGTGCTTGGGCCCCTGCACCCAAGTGGGAGACCGGAAGAAGCTCCTGGCTTCTCAGCTCTGGCTGTTGTGGCCATTTGGGGAGTGAACTAGTAGATGGAAGACCTCTCCTGTAACTTTGTCTTTCAAATAGATAAAATTGAATTTAAAAAAATGAACACTTAAAAAGAAAAAGAAATTACCTTTTAACCTGTGTTTCTGTAATATATTTATGAAAATTCTTGAAAAAAAAAATTTTCTGTCTGTAGTTGGTTGAACCCATGGACGCAGAGCCCATGGATATGATGGGGCAACAGTACTAGAATATATAGCTATTCCCCTGATCCTTTCTTTCTTTATGCCATTTTCTTTGAAATATCCTGGAAGAAGGGATGTGGTTGGAGAATGGTGGGCCTACACTTACAAAACTCTAGTCTGAATGCAGACTGGCCTCTGAGTTCTGTGCTGAGATGCCTGCTTGGCCTGTCAGCTGTATTTTCTTTATTAAACTTGGCTAGCATGCTTACTACTACTTTGCCTCACATCTGCAATTCTTTGCTGTGTGATGGCAAGGACCTCTGATCCAGCCATCTCCAGTAAGAATAGCAAATTCTGAATTCTCCAGAGCTACACAATACATTATATATTTGTCCAATTTTTTCACAGTCCTGACAGTAAAATTAGATATTCTGAAGTCTTTGACAGTGCAATAGACTGGTATTTATTTTTTTAGTAATTTATTTATTTATTTGAAAATCAGAGCTATAGAGGGAGGGAGGGAGGGAGGAAGACAGAAAGAGAGCTCTTCCCTCTGCTGGTTCATTCCCCAAATGGCCACAATGGCCAGGGCTGGGCCTCTATTAGATTCCTATTTAATCTGTAATCTCTCCAAGATATCCCTTTTGTCAAAATTTTCAAATCCCATTACACCACAGTCCTAAAACTATGATATCTCCCCACTGTCTCATGAAAGAAGGTTTCAAAATCTTCCTTATACTACCTTATGTTCTCCCTCTCTTTAATTACAGGCCCGCAGGTAACTAACGCTCTGGTCTCACTGGTTTGACAACTGTTCCCAGTCACAGTGGACAATTTCTTAGCATTTTTTTTTCTTTTTACACACTGCTTCCCCCACTTTAGTATTTGGGGGTCACTCTTTTTTTATTTGACAGAGTTATAGACAGTGAGAGAAACAGAGAGAAAGGTCTTCCTTCCATTGATTCACCCCCAAATGGCCACTATGGCTGGTGCTGCGCCGATCTGAAGCCAGGAGCCAGGTGCCTCCTCCTGGTCTCCCATGCGGGTGCAGGGGCTCAAGCACTTGAGCCATCTCCCACTGCCTTCCTGGGCCACAGCAGAGAGCTGGACTGGAAGAGGAGCAACCGGGACTAGAACCAGGTGCCTACATGGGATGCCGGTGCCACAGGCGGAGGATTAGCCAAGTGAGCCACAGCGCCGGACCAAATTTCTTAGCTTTTATTATTGTCGGTACTAATGATTCCAAGTAGAACGTCCTTCCCACTTATTTCCACTTACATGAATTCTATTCAATCTTCACAGTCCAATACAAATGCTACCTTCGTTATAAAATTGCTTTATACCAAAAATTAGTCTTTTCTCTTAAAGACTTCCAAAGCACTTTATACCTCTTCATAGCATATATTTCATCCTTTCATATATATTTTTTAATTTTTAAATTTATTTATTTATTTGAGAGTGGGAGTTACACAGGGAGAGATCGAGATCGAGGGAGAGAGAATCAGAGAGATCTTTCGTTTTCTGGTTTACTCCCCAAACCCACAATAGCTGGAGCTGGGCCAGGCTGAAGCCAGGGGGTGGGAAGTTAATCCTCACCCTCCACTTGGGCGTCAGGGACCTAACTGCCTGAATCATCATCTGCTGTTTTGCAAGGTGTGCATTAGCAAGAAGTTGGAATTGGAAGCAAAGCCAGGACTTGAGCCCAAGCATTCTGATATGGGGCATGGCATCCCATGTAGTATGTTAAACTGTACCAAACACCCATCCATCATTTTGCCATAAATTATAGATTATTCTACAGACGTTAATCAGGGTCAGCTTTCTAGTTATTTTTGTATTTTCTTCACAAACAGTGTTTTAGATGCAGAATGCATTTGATAGTTATCTGTAAACATGAATTAAAAATGATCTTTCTTCAAGTTTTTTCTCAAATTCATAAACCTTTATAGAAGTACTTTGTATTCTTAAATTAGGACTTCTTGGAACACATGATCATTTTAAATTCAATGGATTTCTTCAGAGGATTGAGGCAGGGTAGCCCAGGGTTTTTACTAGATCTACCTCCACCAAAACAAACAAAAAAGGTTTAATGATTACCTTTTCAACATCTGAGAGGGAAGTCAGTGATTGGTTCTGTAGAACCTCTGGTGCAGTGAATGCTCGAAGATCGTGATTGGAAATATTTTCATCAGTGAATGACACACTACCAGATGGCAGCAGCAGCAGAGACCATGGAGAAATGATGAAGCCAAGGGCAGCAGGATCAGCGATGCTAACTGGTTTGCAATTGTACCGGAACAAAAAGAAAAAAGGAAAATAATTTCTTAATGGAATAAATCAGAGGAACGAGAATTCTTTGATATGCCAGACCATTAATATAGCTACTAATACATAGCTATACCATATCAACATGCTACAAAAAAGAGAATAAGTTTCATATAAATGCAACTGTAAGCATTCTTAACAACAAATCTTTGATTTGGCTCAATCTTTTAAAATCCAGATGGCAGATACTAGAAACTAGAAATGGAAGACTTTCAATATTGGTCATAAGAACTAAACTTGGTTCAAATGTTTTATCATAGTAATAAACAGATTACAGATAAGGATAAGCAGTTATTAACTTTTTTTTTGGATAGTGGATTCCTTTGAGAAACTGGTGAAGGCTATGTTCTCTCGTTCAAAGACAATGCTCATAAATATAAAACTCTGTATACAAAGCTTCACACACACGTCTTAACCAATCACACACATCACGGCTGAAACATGGCCACAATTCTTATGGTAAAACATGCTTCAATGAATCACCACAGCTGGTAACTATACACATGCTGTTGCCTTTTACAGCCACTTCACACATTCTGTGTTACAAGCCTCTTCTTCAGTATTTCAGTTACAAGCACCACACAATACAGCTTTAAAGAACTCAGACTATGAGGAATAATAATTTCCTTGCTAAAAGATACTATTCAAAATCTTGACATTCTACAAAGTAAACATCATAAAACAAGGTAAAACAAACTCCTTTCAAATTATCAAGTCAGAAGAACAATCACTAGGAGACCAATCAGGAAGCAAATGCACCAGAATCAGGTGTGAGATGATGACGGGATACAGTCACAGCAGTAGCATCAGAGGAGATGAGAATCTGCTGGAAACTTCACATATTTTAGAGGTACCAACAATAGAGCTTCTTCACAGGTTGGCTCTGGGGTGAGAGAAAGACAGGAATCTGGATGCGACCAAGGTTGTGATCTGAGTAATTAGAAGGATATGTGCCATCAACTGAGCTAGAAAAGACTATAGACAGCACAGGTCGCTGAGGTAGGAGGTGGTGGCAGAATTCAGAACTTTAGTTTGGGACCAATTAAATCTAAGATAGGTTAGCTATTCAAATGGGTATATCAAATAGGCAATGGATCTGGAGTATGAGGGGAAAAAAGTTAGAATTAGAGATATATTTGGAAGACACTGGTGTAAGATGATATTTAACACTTAAGACTGGATGACTTGGAGCTGGCATTGTGGTGCAGCAGGTTAAGCTGCCACCTCCAGCCCCAGCATTCCATATGGGTGCCAGTTTGTGTCCTGGATGCTCCACTTCAGATTTAGTTCCCTGCTAATGCACCTAGTGATGGAATAAAGACATAAGCCTCAGCCATTCTTGCTCATTGCCCAAAAGATAGATAAACATTGGAAAGTATTCCTTGACCTTGAATCTCAATTGGGTCTCCCACCCTACTGCCTTCATACCACACGGCCACCTGAAAGATCAGTCACTGGAACACTTGAAGACCAGTTTCAGGAATTCCCCTCTGCCTGCTGCCCCCTACCCCCACCCCCAACCCTAGCCCTCCTAAAATATAAAAAGACCCAGCCCCTGAGGGTTGGGGGCCTTCTGCCATGTGTTCCACCATGTGTTCCACCATGTGTACGATGGCAGCTGGTCACCCACCTCTACGAATTTATTTTATCTGAATAAATTCAGTCTGGATGTAATTTCACACACTGCCTCCTCTCTATTCTGCACCTCTTTTCCTAACATTTATGGTGCCCCAAGTGAGGAAGCACCAATTTGCAACTCTTTTCCTAATATTTATGGAGCCCTGTGTGAGGAGGCACCAGTCTGCAACTCTTTTCCTAACATCTAGGGAAGTAGCAGAAGTTGGCTCAAGTGCTTGAGCCCCTACCACCTATGTGGGAGACCTGGATAAAGCTCCTGGCTTCTCAATTTAGCCTGGCCCAGCCCCCAGCCATTGTGGACTTTTGGGTAGTGAGTGAATCAGCAGATGGAAGATCTGTCTCTTTCCTTCCCTCTCTCTTCTTTAACTCTGCCTTTCATCTTAAAAATATATACTTGGTGACTACAAAAAAATGACTTAAGAAATGAGCCTTGAAGTACTCAAGTCTGAGAACTGACTGTTCCTTCCAAACCTTCTTAAAGATTCTCCTTTTTTCTTGGACATATAGGTAAGTATGCTGCTATACTCTCCCTCTAAAACTTGGGTCTCTCACTACCACCAATCTGCATCGCAATTATCTTAATTAATTCTTATTAGCCTTTCTGTCCAGTTCCTCAGTACTTAGCAGAAAGCACTTAGGAGGCTGAAATTCTAACTCTCATGGCTAATTCCTGACAGTCCTTATTTGGGGGAACAAAATGACTCATTTTTGGTATACCTGTTACCATTTTGAATTTAAAAAAAAATTTTTTTTTTAATAGGCAGAGTTAGTGAGAGAGAGAGAGACAGAGAGAAAGGTCTTCCTTCCAGTGGTTCACTCCCCTACTAGCTGCTACGGCCGGCGCGCTGCGCCGGTCCAAAGCCAGGAGCCAGGTGCTTCCTCCTGGTCTCCCATGTGGGTGCAGGGCCCAAGCACTTGGGCCATCCTCCACTGCCCTCCTGGGCCACAGCAGAGAGCTGGACTGGAAGAGGAGCAACTGGGACAGAATCAGGTGCCTCAACCGGACTAGAACCTGGGGTGCTGGTGCCGCAGGTGGAGGATTAGCCAAGTGAGCCGTGGTGCTGGCCATCATTTTGAATTTTTAAATTATTGGGGAATCACATCTAACATGACATGGAATCCAAATGGTATGTCCTGTTCTGTCTACCCAGTCCAGGAAAAGCTGGCTATACTCCTCTTCCTCCTCATTCCTCTGCAGCCACAGCCAACCTGGCAGCACCAACCAGAAACCATCAATGATGAAAGTAACCTACAACTGCTCACCATTCTAAAATTAAGGGATTTATTCACTTCCCAGTATAATCAATGTTAGTGAAGATATTATTACTGAGGCAATAACTGTACATTTCAACTTTTGCTTTACCAGTAAGTTTTTGATTGTTTTTACTGAACATCTGAAGTACATCATGTTTTTACACCCTAAACATATTAACATAATCTTCCCAACACTACAAGTCATCTGTGAATAGGGTCCAATGTACTACTGGGGAGATGAAAATATATACATATATAAATACAACAATAGGGAACACGAGGTATCTAAGAAACAGGAATAAAAAGGAGTTTCAAGGATGCAAAATTACTTCAACTACAATGAAGAAAACACTAATTTCTTTTTTTATACATGGCCCTTTAAAATTGGTAAGGCTTGACCATGGCTAAGGGTAGGATTCCAAAGAGAAAAAATAGCTAATCCATGTGGTCAGGAAATTTTTACGTTTGTACAGGAGAGGGAATGATAAGAATTTTGGGCAGAAGAATGGTGAAGAACACTGAGAAATAGAATTACCAAGGTGAGTCATATTTGATTGTTAAAAAACACACAGAAATAACACAAATATTTTCAAATGCGATTTTTAAGCATTTGTAATAAAGTTAAAGCAACTGTGACAACAAACTACACTGCTGTCAAATTCCCAAAACACACATATTAGTTAAATGCTGGATTCTTGAGAAAACATAGTCAAACCACAAATGTATTTTAAAATAATTGTAAAGGGTCATGCAAACCTACAATAAGAGAATAGAGTTGTGGCTAGATTCAGTCTTTAATTCACCCTTCTTGTCCAACTAAAAGGAAGGAATTTGGAGCAAATGTGTTCAAAATTCTTCAAAGAAAGGATGCTAACATAATATTTTAAAATGAGATCCTAGAAGCTTGTAATTTTATGTCCTTTGTTCTAGTTGTACACTGATTACACTCAAGAATGCTACTGTTATGAAAGAGTAAATCTGATATAAACTGATTCCAGTAGCCTACTTATTCTATTTATAGACTTTTATCAACATTCCACAGAAAAAGTTAAACAGAATATCAAGAAGCTACAGGCAAAGTCAGAAATAAGCAGGAATTTGATAGGTAAAGAAACATCTGAGTGTTTCTTTCCAATGTTCTTAACCCAAGATCCATGGGTCACTTAACATTCATACATTTTTTTTCCTGGGAATTCTTGCCATTTCCCCAGATTGTTTCTGTAAATTTAAATTACATTTTTCTAGTACTAAAAAATATGGAAATTATCATAAATGTGCAATAGGTAAGGAAACCCTAAGAATGTAAGAAAATCATCTTGAAACGTAGACCAACATTGACTTTTTTTTTTTTTTTGACAGGCAGAGTGGACAGTGAGAGAGAGACAGAGAAAGGTCTTCCTTTTCCGTTGGTTCACCCTCCAATGGCCGCCACGGCTGGTGTGCTGTGGCTGGCGTACTGTGCTGATCCTAAGGCAGGAGCCAGGTGCTTCTCCTGTTCTCCCATGGGGTGCAGGGCCCAAGCACTTGGGCCATCCTCCACTGCACTCCCTGGCCATAGCAGAGAGCTGGCCTGGAAGAGGGGCAACCGGGACAGAATCCGGTGCCCCGACCGGGACTAGAACCCGGTGTGCCAGCGCCGCTTGGTGGAGGATTAGCCTATTGAGCTGTGGCGCCGGCCCCACATTATTTTGAACTGAAAAATCCCTTAGTCTATTCAAGCACAAGAAATTACAGTTCTCCTGTTTTATATATCAGTGCGCTTGGCAAAAATCTATGCAGAGGCTGCTGGGCTTTTTTAAGATTTATTTATCTATTTGAAAGGTAGAGTTACAGAGAGAAGGGTAAATAGAGAGATCTTCCATCTTCTCCAAATGGTCGTAATGACCGGGGCTGGGCCAGGCAAAGCCAGGAGCCAGGAGCTTCTTCCAGGTCTTCCATGTGGATGGCAAGGTCCCAGTGACTTGGGTCATCTTCCCCCGCTTTCTCAAGCACATCAGCAGGGAGCTCAATCAGAAGTGGAGAAGCCAGGACTCAAACCAGCACTCATACGGCATACTAG